CACACACACACACACACATTACGTATTCTCCTATAAAAATGATTTGCAGACAGTGTATGCAGTGAGTGCACAAAGAGGTTGATAATCAATAGTGCAGTGTGAATGTTTAACTTTGGGCTCTCTCAATCAATACAGAGCTCTGAACAAGAACTAAATATACCATTCTGCCCAGAGTCAGAGAAAGAATCAGGCATAAGAAAGGAAAGTGAGCAATATGGCAAATGTAATCTGAATCAAATATAATCAATATAAGCCATCGGAAAAATAATCAACTGTATGTCCAAAAGTAGGAATTATATGGTATTTTGTCTTTTGAACTTTTGAAAGGTAGTGTGTGTATTGCAGTATATAAAAAATCTCTAATATTGACCCATAACCAATATGGTACCAAACATACTGTGCATCCCTAGACAAACGTATGTGTGCTCTCAAACACCCATACATGCTTGTTGAACCTTTTTCATTTTAAAACTAATAAAAGGCCTAGGCATACAGTACTCCTTTCAGTGTATGTCATGCAACAAAATACAAAGATGAACTAAAATTTGTGCACAGTGAGTTCTTCACAATAGTCCATGCCAAAACTGTCAGTTGACACAGAAATGACTCCCAACAGAGTCAAAGCCCCTTCTTTTCGTGTCTCATTAGTATGTAATACATATGGAAGGAAGGATAGACAGAAAGACAGACAAAAACAGCAGAGAAAAACGTATCTGGAGGAGAGAGAGAGACAGGGAGAATCATGCTTTTCACAGTTAAGTAACACAGTCCATAGTTATCTACGGTAATGACAAATCCGTAATTAGCACAAAGCTAATTCACTGTGATGCAAAAATGGCACACTATCTCTCTTTTCCTCCCTCCTTTTATCGTTTCATCTGTCTGCCACATGATTTCTGGGCATTTCTTCTCTCTACTTCCTGCTTGTTTGACTTTCTGCACACAGACTTTGTTTCCTCAATATTGCAAGGAAGCCTCTTGTGATAAACCAAACAAATAGCATGATCATTGAGGACAAACCAAAAAATTAAATGTTGATTTTTTGAAGGCGATGTTTCCAAATCATAAAACACTCCAGACATTCGAGCTGTACAAGTGCTGGCATCGAGTTAAAGGAACATGATTCATTTATTCATGCGGCTGAGAAAATAAATTACACACACCACAAATCAGATCACACATTTTCACTTCTAAATTCTCTTCTAAATTATGAGCTCTCTCTCTCTCTCTTTTGTGAATTTATATTCATTGTATCTGTTTTGGAGTTAATACTTTTAATAAGGCCAACATGGAATATGCTGACTTTGCATTTTCTATGTTTTGGGGAAAATCTGCAGAATTCTGTGAAATAGATTTAAATGTGGAAAAATGTAGTAATGTTGAGTCTTATTAGTTGCTTAAAGCATTTTAACTTCAAATGTGCTTCAGTACTGCTCTTCACAAAGTAGCTGGAACTTCTTTTATTGTTAACAGACATGATGTAAAGTAAACACATGAGGACGAATGACCGAAGCTGGGAAATTTCCCGGCAAATCGAATCAGACATCTCTGAAAATAAAACATTATTGTAGGCTTACTGGTAAGGCAAGAACACTGATTTGACTCAATAATTCATTTGCTGTGGAGTTTTGCAGACACAGATTCCGTGTGGGACTGTTGCTAAGTTGCTAAAAATGCTAAGCTAATGCTAATATGGGTTTCTGTTAGTGGCCAATACTCATGTTTATCCATTATTTATCCAACTATGTTGGAACTGAGTGTCTCACTCTCTTTGTCTCTCTCTCTCTCTATTTTTCTGTCAGTCATTCTCAGTATTAATACATTAGTAACATTGTGCAGCGATTGCTCTGGGAGTCAGTCAAATGGTCTTACACCCCTCTATGGCATAGGGAGGTCTTTAAAGTGAGGAAACATGACAGCATTATACCTTACCTCAGACAAAAGTCCTTCCAAAGTCTTGAATTTACACTGTGGAGCAAACAGCATTGGGGGGGAAAAAGGATACAGCCGTACTCCTCCGGAACGAGTGCCAATGGCAAGGATCTTCTGCACGGGGTCAAATGCCAGAGCTGTGGGCTGATAGGGAAATCCATGACGCACCGTCTACAGAGAAAGGAAAACAGAGAAAGCATGAAAAAAAAGAAAACATGCTGTGCTACATTAAGAACAAAGTATTGTAGGCAACTTTAGTCATTCATTCCCACATAATAGTGACACAGCCTACGGCCTGCCTGCATCCCTTGCTACTCTCCTGAGAACTGCTCACATGAAACAATACTTCAGCATTCGCTGCTCAATGTGCAGCCACCCGCTCCTTCCCATCTCCTACAAGATATATTCTGCAATATTTTATTGGTTTGGCATACTATTAAAAAGTTTGAAGTTGGTAGGATGTTTTAATGTTTTTGAAAGAAGCCTCTCATGCTCACCAAGGCTGCATTCAAAAATGACTGTAAAATACATTATTTTAAAGTAACTGTTGTCTATTTTAATATACTTTAAAATGTAATTAATTCCTGTGATGACAAAGCTGAATTTTAGAGTTAATCAAAAGTTAACTCTTTCCAATCATCTTACTATGCTGTACCTTCCATACTACCTGCTTTCTGTCTGCAAAAAAAAGTCTCTTCTCCTATTAAAGTTTGACATTATGTTGATAACACCATAAAGTACAGGTCAAATTACTCAAGTCAGTAAAATAACAAAACAGATTATGCCCTGCTACTTAGTTTACTTAAAGCAAAATCACTTGGGATTTGAACCCGGGTACCTTTCAATCACATAATCATATATCATCAAAGATGATGATGACACCAGATCACTTGATTGAGCTACTAAATCATATGGCACTTCATGCTGCCGCCATGCTGACAACACTTTCCATCTCATTTCCTTTTCCATGTCTCCATGTCTACAATCTCAACAAAGATCTCAGCATGCACTTCTGGCACCTCGCTGACCACTCAAGCTCAACTTCATCAAAACCGAGCTCCCCTGCCCCCCAGCCAACACTCCCCCACTCAGTCTATCTTCATCTCAGCTGAAGGTCACACAGCTGTCAACGCTTGCTGTGCAAAAACGATGGTGCCCCTCAAGACCAACCATCACATTCATGGACAAAACTGCAACAACCACCTAAACCAGCCAAAATCAAGCTTTTCCTGCACTTCTACACCAAGCAGTTGGTTTAGTTTCTGCTTATTTGATAACAAGATTATTCACTTCTTACTGGCCTTCCTGCATCTGCTATATGTTCTCTTAAACATATTCAAAACATTACTTTTGATCTCAAATTCAATTCAATATAATTTCATATTACCACAGAATCAATACACACAAATTAATGAATAACCTAAATAAAGTATTATTAATTAAGAAGTAAATAAGAAATAAGTAATCAGTAATGCCAACATAAAATAAAATAAAATGTAGAAAGATATTAAATGAATGTAAGGTAGGTTAAATGCCTTACTCAGAGGCCTAATGTTGATTTCTTGCTGCATGTGGGTCTTGAACCAGCAACCTTCTGGCTAAGAGCCCTGAGCTTTATTCTGTAAATCACATTGCATTTAACCTCTAGAATTTCTCACGCGTTACACGTTTACACAAATCAAAGTCAAGATGCTGTTATCTGCCATTAGCAGACAGCTAACTGTAAGGATGGCTCCTGTGGAGCATCACCGGGTTAAGTGCTTTGTTCAATGACACAACGGTGACACGGGAATCGACCTGCTAATTCACCTGCAACCAGTGGTAATCTCGTTATCAATAAAATTACTGACAAATTGCTTGTCACTGATGAGTTTAATCAATAAAAAGGGCAACAATGTGCATCATGATGACAATTTAAAAATGTTATAATTTGACAAAAAATAACACTACAAGCTAACAATGATTTTGAAGAAAAATCTACAAAGAAAATAATAGTTTTAAATAATGCAGTCACAATCAATAATATCAGAGATTGACCTGTTTGAGCTGGTGAAAGTGAATGAACACCAGTAAACTAAAGTGCTATTTTAGTGGGCTAACTAACTCAATATGAGATTAATAAAATATATAGACATAAATAAAATATTACATTTAATTGCATCTGCACAAAATGCACAAGTGGACTAAGTAACGTGATAGTCAAACCGTGTAAGTCACGTTGTGTTTCCATAACAACGCAATGAACCAGAAACAATGAATAATTGCATAAATATTCATACATACTGTATATCATTACTCTAATTACAGCAGTGTACTCAATGTTACTTCAGAAGATCAGGTTTTTACAACCGGACAGTTTTCACACGTTTTTGTTAAAGAATTAGTTCACTCCAGATTTAAAAGTTCCTGATAATTTACTCACCACTGTGTCATCCAAGATGCTCATGTCTTTCTTTCTTCAGTAGAAAATATATTAAGGTTTTTGAGGAAAACATTCCAAGATTTGTCTCCATATAGTGGACTTCAACGGGGACCAACGAGCTAATGGTCCAAACTGCAGTTTCAATGCAGATTCAAAGGGCTCTACACGATCCCAGCCGAGGAATACGTGTCTTATCTAGCAAAACGATCTGTCATTTTCTAAAAAAAAGAAAATATTTATATACCTTTTAACTACAAATGCTCATCTTGCACTAGCTCTGCGATGCGCGTGACACATATTTATGTCTTTGTATCAGTTTATTTTTTTAAATGGTCCATTCGTGTGTGTATCCAGGATGTTAAAATTTTTTAAAACCTAAAAAATGTATTCTGCTAGGAAAAAATGTGACCTTTCCAACGCGATTACAGAATGCGTGCAGTTGTGGATGCGCATTGCAGAGCTAGTGCAAGACCAGCATTTGTGGTTAAAAAGAAATGACCGATGGTTTCGCAAGATAAGACCCTTATACCTCGGCGGGGGTCGTGTAGAGCCCTTTGAAGCTGCATTGAAACTGCAATTTGGACCTGTAGCCCGTTGGCTTCCACTGAAGTCCACTACTGTATATGGAGAAAAATCCTGAAATGTTTTCCTCATAAAGTAAAACAACAGTAACTCAAAACATTTGTTGGTACATGTCAGAACACATGAAACTTGAAACTTTTCCTTATATTAGCTGCTAATTTACATTTCTGCTCCACACACCTGTCCACTTGTTGCAACTGGCTTCACGTCAATCTTTAAATATCCAACAAAACAATTAAAGTGCTTCAAAAGTTCCCAAGCCTCTCACTAGCAAGTCACTTACACAATGAACATTTACCTTGTTACACTTGCAGCAAACTGCCTGCAATCACTGTAATCAATTGAGCTGGTCGGGGGCCAGCTTCAAATCATGCCGCTCTGAGTGTGTTTTATTTGGTGCACTGAACTGTAAAGAAGCTGTCCAGAATGTGTGCTCTGAAATGCAAGAGCAGGTGCTGTCCACAGCCATCGGAGCTGGAAGCATGCAACGAGAGCCGTCCACAGCCTGCGGGTCTGTGCTAGTGCTCTGGCGCTGGCGATGGCTGCCACAGATGGTGCTGAAATCCATAACACATGCGGTCTAGAGATGTGACGCAAATTGTGACTGTCCAAAAATATTTTAGAAATAATTCTGCAGATTAGTGTCGAATGCTTCCTGATTGGGACACTAACAGAGAGTGTAACAAATTCAAGTGGTCCATGAGTTAATTTGACTTTTTTTCTTTTGTTACATTTGACTGTAAAAATGCACTTTTGCGCACTCACTTTCCCCATTTGTTTGGCTCCCTTATGAAGGTACGTTCATCAATAATTCATCTGCAGGGCTCTGGACTGATGCAAGCAAGTACTGGATGAATGAGCAGGATGGAGTGATCACAAAGCAAGCAAAAGACACAGAGAGAGAGCGAGAGAGACGGGATGGAGTGTGTGTGATGTTCTATCCGTGGCTATTAAGCAGGAATAGAGCTGTGACGAAACCGTTGTCATGTTCAAATTCTCTCGACTTGCGACTACAGCTGCAGGTTTATTGTCTGCGTCTGCATGGGCGTGGCTGCGTTCGATGTTTCAGTGCGTATGTGTGTGTTGCCTTATCGTCTCTATTAATCAAACGAGTGCTAATGAATGCCTCGGCGTATTGATTTTCATTCAGTGCTCTGCTTTATTGCAGACTATTTAAGCATCCCCCTCCCATTCCCTCTTCATCTCTGGGTTTCTCTCCTCTCGCTCTGTCTCTCGCTCTCTCATACTGATATGGGCTGTTGTCTCCGCTGTTTAGCTATTCAATTTCTCCACCCTGTTTCTACTACTCCATGCGGTTCTATCACTCTTAAAGGGACAGTTCACCCAAAATCGAAAATTCTGTCAAGGTGTACTCTAACCTATGTAAATGTCTTTCTGTCATACAGACATTCTATTTGGAACGACACAAGGGTGAGTAAACAATGACTTATCCAAAGAATATTCATTTTTGGGTGAATCGTATCTTTAAGTTTGCATGAAGCAACCATTTCTTTCAAAAGTTTGGGGTCAGTTACTTATTTATTAAACCTTTCCCCAAGGATGCATTAAATTGATCAAAAGTGACAGTACAGACATTTTTTTTATTTAGTTACAAAAATACGTATTTAATCAAATCAAACATACTGATACTTACACTATCTTTTAAAAGTTTACGGTCAGTACCTTTTTTTTAAGAAATTTAATCCTTTTGTTCAGCAAAAGGCCATTAAACTGATCAGAAAGAACAGTGAATACTTTTACATTCCATTAAAAAAAAAAAAAAGAATCAAGGTTTCCACAAGAATATTAAGCAGCTGTTTTTACCATTGATAGTCAGCCAAATCAGCATATGATCATTTCTGAAGGATCATGTGACACTGTAAACTGGAGTAAGAACTGCTGAAAATTCAAATTACAAATAAATAAATTAGATTTTTTTAAATATATTAAAATACAAATATTATTTAAAATTGTAATATTATTTCACAAATTTTTTTTCCTATTTTTGATTATAAATGCAGCTTTGCTGAGCATAAGAGACTTCTTTCAAAAACATAAAAATCTACATTTAAAGCCCAAACTTTTGAATGGTAGTGTATTTATCTCATTGACTTCCTTAGTGGCTTTTACCCATGATTAAATATCATTGAGCCACAAACATACGACT